AAATGAGTCCCTTGTCTGATGTGTCATTGCAAAAGATTTTTTCCCATTCTGTGGGTTCCCTTTTTACTCTTTTGGTGAAGTCTTTTGATGCACATAAGTTTTAATTTTTAGTATGTCCCAATCATCTATTTTGTCTGCTTTTGTTTGTGTAGATTTCAAAATGTTTGGTATTCTGTGTATTCCCTGAATTAAGAGTTTTCACATTTGTCCCTATTTTTCCTACAGCAGCACAGCAGGAGTCCCACCGTACACTAATCCTGCCTTATTAACATACAGAAAACTACTCCCAAATAGGATTATAACTACAAGCATAGATATTAGGATTTGCAACACATATTTTTGGAGGACACAGTTCAATCTATAACAATTGGTTGATTTTTTTTTTTTTTTTATGCTTAGTATATATTAATCCTGAAACTTTAAGGATCTGCATGTTCTGCCTCCTGAGAGAGGAGCAGTGGAAATAGGGGTTGGTCTCGATTTCTAGAAGGTGCATAATAGGGAGGTCAAGTGGAGGCTGAGTGTGAGGCACTGGGAGGGGTGGTATTCATAGTGTGCTGTAGTGAGCAGCCTCTACTGGCTCACAAGAGTTGTCAGGAATTTTGCAAGTTGATTGCTAAACATCAGTACGATTAAAAATTAAATTATACTCTTAAGATAAAATATATTAAGCTTTTTTGCAATGGGTTTGCCACCAGAATACAGGTGTTGGTGAAAACCATCACAAAACCTAAGCCAAAATGGGAAAGGAAAAGACCCATATCAACATTGTCGTTATTGGACACATTGACTCTGGCAAGTCAACCACTACTGGTCACCTGATCTACAAATGTGGTGGAATCGACAAAAAGCCATTGAAATTTTTGAAAAGGAAGCTGCTGGGATGGGGAAGGGCTCCTTCAAATATGTCTGGGTCTTGGATAAACTGAAAGCTGAACGTGAGTGAGGCATCACCATTGATACCTCCCTGTGGAAATTGAGACCAACAAGTAGTATGTGACCATCACTGATGCCCCAGGACGCAGAGATTTTATTAAAAACATGATTACAGGAACCTCACAGGCTGACTGTGCTGTCCTGATTGTTGCTGCTGGTGTTG